ATATTGTAAGAAATAAATTCGCTTTAAATAAAATATTGTGAAATGTTATTTATATAAAAGTGTAATGCAATAATTGTTTGGGATTATACCACCAAAGTGGAGTAACTATAGAACGTTATCCAAAAAATATATTTAATTATATTCAGTTATATCAGAGCTTAGTAATAATTTTCACTAATAAACAAATAATTGTATATAAATTAAAAAACATATAAATTATTCTGTTGCTGTTTTACATCCTGCACGATAGGGCCAATCACAAACATGTATGTCAGGGTTGAAGTGTAGTCCAGCTGGGCAATCAAACAAAAACGGTTCACCATTAGAACATTCGTAAAATTTGGTACAATCATCGTGTGGAATGTAAGTTGGTTGTGCACCGTCTCGGGCTGGACAGTTCGGAACTGTTGAAAGTATCATAATTGCAGGAAATCAGTTTAAAAAAATATGTAAATACCTGTTTGAGAAGAATATGCAACAAAAGCCGCAAGTGTAAATAGAACTGTGTAATACATAGTTGAAAATAGTATTTTTCTAATTTATTAAAAATTTAGAAACAATTAAGTATTTGTTGAATCTTGGGAGAATTCAGATTTCAAACTGATCAACTACAGCCGAGTAGACGGTTTATATAGGCAGTAAAATTCAAGCTAAAATGAGAACTTCGAATAGATAAAAATCTCTGCCTTTCAACGATTTACTAGTGGATTAAGGAGAAATATAATCCAAGCAATTAATCCTATTTTTAAAAAACAACACATAGATGTAATGTTTAAGTGTAGTGAAATATCCATTTTAAATGATTAACGGTGAGATTACGAAAAATATTGTTATTTTGTGCCGTTTTTCAAATTTTTGCTGTACAGCCAAGAATTTAACAAAAGTTCCCCAAGATATGAAATACGAAGAGACAAAAATTTTTGTTTAGGTTTATAGTCAGGATATTGTTTTTTCAAATTATATATATATGTTACGGTTAAAGTGAATACTCGGCTAGTTTCCAAACTAACTGGTTGTTATGCAAACTAACCAAGTCGCTAGTTATTATAGACGAAAAACTATTTTCTCTTACATTAGCAGGGTTTCTTGGTTCATTTGTAAACTGCCCAGCTAGTTTATAAACTACGGTACAAGTTTGGATCATTTACATACTTTTTTTAAAGTACATAAATTAACCGAAATAATTGGTTAGTTTACAAACCAGCCACTTTGTTCTAGTTAAAATAAGAACTTTTTCTCTAGTACGATAAAATAACCAATGAATTGTATCATATTTTAGGCAGTTAGTATGCAAACAGACAGTTGTTTTAGTGTTCAATGCAGGCAATGATACAATTCATTGGTTATTTTATCTTACTAGAGAAAAAGTTCTTATTTTAACCAGAACAAAGTGGCTGGTTTGTAAACTAACCAATTATTTCGGTTAATTTATGTACTTTAAAAAAAGTGTGTAAATTATCCAAACTTGTACGGTAGTTTATAAACTAGCTGGGCAGTTTACAAATTAACCAAGAAACCCTGCTAATGTAAGAGAAAATAGTTTTTCGTCTATAATAACTATCGACTTGGTTAGTTTGCATAACAACCAGTTAGTTTGAAAACTAGCCGAGTATTCACTTTAACCGTAACATATATATATATATATATATATTATACATAGGTATATTAACAAACTTTTGTTATATCTAAATATATACTTTGGGAAATTATCGACAGTTTAAAGTTACTACTTAAGTTAAACAGGTTATCGTTTCGCGAAAATCCAAGATTAGGATAATTTCATTTTCAAAATCCCTTAATCTTCATACCAATATACAGTATTATACCAGTATTATTTACGGCATTTGATTTCATATTTGTAGCACTTTCTTTATTGTGTAACTTAGCACGTTAGCCTCAAATATTTCATCAAATTTTGTAATTTTTAGGCAGATGATTTTAAATGGCCTATTCCCGATCACAAAAATCTTAAAGTGTCTTATAAATTTCAACGTTTAAATTGCCTTAGAATAGTATGCAATTTCGAGATTTATACTGCTTTCTACACTATTTGCACCATACAGCCTTACATTTGTTTCGTCATATTCTAGATCTCATTAAAAATATGTTTTATTGCCTCAACCAATAGACAACAGAGCAGACATACTGATAAAAAATCGTAACAAGGAAGACATTTCCATTGACACTACTATTCTAAACACAAGGAATTTATATCAAACATATAAAAAGAACACAATCGAAAAATCTACATTTGTAATCCACTACTCAAAAACCTCAGATAATAACTATAACCACTTCAAGTTTATCCCGGTAATAAACCACAATCTACTGGCTATGATTAAATAAACAGTCATATTTTTAATAACTGACAATCGGTTGACTGAAACAACACCTGATTTCTTTCACTCTTTACATAGTTTTGGATATATAGGGTTGATCAAAAAGGTAGACGCGGAGGTGAAATATCTGCATATGTGTCATGTTCTGTAACTCCAATTTGCAAAATAACGACACTAGACATTCACTTCAATGCTTTCGAATCACTTTTTTTTCATCTTAATAACAAATCTTTTTACCTTTTACTTATAAGTACTTACAGGCAACCATTTTCTGTTATTGAAGACAATATTACTCTGTTTCAAAGATTTAAAAAATCAGTTTAGTAAATTCTTATTCTTTGGTGGTTTCAACATGCCAGAAATACACTGGAGCTTCCAGTTCTTTAAATGCAGCTTCTTGTTCAAGCCAGTTGTTAACAGAATTATTATTGGATAACTCGGTAAAACTTAAGCAGTATTTGCGTGTACAATTTCATTACTATTTACGAATACTGCGAGATTAATTTTGATCCCTTTAATCGTATACCGGGATATTAATTAATCATTTAGGTAATTTAGGTTAAGTCTTATCCTACTAAAATTTAGGCCGATTTCTACTGTAATAATATTCTGTAAGTGGATGACAGAACAGTTTGAAATAAATAGATATTATCATTATCTGGTGCAATTCGTAACTAGATTCAGAAATGATCAACTTGATTTCATCTTGGGTCTTACAATTGCATCAGATGAAAATCCTTTTTGAAATTTCCAACACTTTGAACCAAATAGTAAATCGGACCGTGTTGTTTTGACAGGAAAATCTCAGTTTTGTTGCAAAATATTTCCAGGAATCGTTATCAGAAACCAGTCTGGTGTTGACTTCTTCTGTGAGCACTTACCTGTTAAAAATTGACTCAAATTCGCTTTTAGTGTTCCATCTGTCCAAGGTAATTGTGTCATTTTCAAAAACGTATTATATGATAAAGTTACCAAGCACACTAAGAAATTTCGAAGAAATCTACGTTAAAACATGGATTAACTCAACGAGTGAGCAGTGTACCCTGTCTCTCCAGACGTATTTGCTTCTCCCGGTGAGCCCGTTTCTTGCTATTTTTAAAAATTTGGCTAGCGAAAAGTTGTAGAATCTAAGAGTTGGTTGTGCTAAACAGCTTCAACCCTTAGTGAAGGGGAAGCAAATTACATGCTTCCCCATTAATTCGGTACTTGAGTTTTTGTCTCTCGCTTATCTTGGAAGTGCTGATAGGTTCTCCCTCTTTTTGCATTGACCACAGTAACAGTCTGTATTGCTCGCCTGTCCGGCGCAGCGGTATACTGACAAAGCTTAAACGAACGAGAAATCAAAATGGCGACTTCGGCGCCGCAATTCCCAGCTAAAGAACAAGCGATAGTTATGAACGCTGTCGACGACTTAAAACTCACAGACTACGTTGTCGCTATAGGTAATATAGTGCAACCAAAAAACATTATTTTTGCCTCGCGAATTTCAAATGGCCGTATTTGCATATACATGAGCTCTAAACTGTTGGTTGATCAAGTAGTTGCTGATCATCCGGTGATCACAATTAAAGATTTTGAAGTCAACATAAGACGTCTAATGAACCCGGCACGTCGCATTATCTTTTCAAATGTATGTCCTTCAGTTCCCCACAACGTTATAGAGAATCTTGTTCAAACCCTAGGTTTTACTGCAGTATCGAAAATGTCATTCTTACGAGCGAGTATTGAAGGTGACGAATTTAAGCATGTGCTAAGTTTTCGAAGGCAAATCTACATTCAGCCTGATGACTCTATTAACCTCCCTTCTTCCATGGTCATAAAGTACGATAACACGAATTACAGGATCTTTCTTAGCTATGATGATGTTTGTTTCAAGTGTAAAGTCTCAGGCCATTTCGCCAGTGACTGTCCAAACCAAACTGAACCCACTGACCAAACGGATACTTCCAACTCGTCGACTCCTCTGGATTTAGCTGTTGGTAAATCTCGTGCTTTAGACGACCAATTGGAGACTTCTAATCTGGTTACCCCCTCACCTTCGACTACCGCTAAGCGCTCTGCCCCTGATGAACCTTTGACTGAATTCATCCCCCCTGATCAACCACAGCTAAACCTTGATGACACAGACCAAAGTGTACGGGGGAAAAAAATTAAACCTTCCGATTCAACCGAAAGCCTTACTCCGACATCTGAAATACTAGCACCCGCTGAACAACTAATTAACAATGCTCACTACCCTCTCACCTTCGAGGAGACTGTTGCCTTTCTTGAGAAGGCTGTTGGAAAACCGGATATTTTAAGTCTTATTAGGGAATATACTAATGACATTTATGGTGTTCTTATAATGGTTCACGACATTTACCCTCTTGTGTCGCACAAAAACTTGAAAAATCGATGCAAAAAAATTCAAAAGAGAATTAAAAAAGTCTTAAGTTCCCTGCCAGAGGAACATGGCACAGATCTATCCGGTCTGTTTCAGACTCCCACGACGTCCGCTTTTTAAACGTAATTTACTGCAGTATCCTACACTTTCGGTATTTTCTTATAAGGTTTTTTAAATTCTTATAACCCCTATTAAAATTCGATTCCCATTATAATAAAAATACTCTCTTCCCACAGTTCTTTAAAAATACTGTAATATACACTAACATAGCCTCTATAATGGCTAAGTACAACGACTTATTAGCTTTCGTTACCTATGGAAAGCCGAGTTTTCTGATAGTCACAGAAACGTGGTTATCCTCGTCAATACCAGATCATCTTTTCTCCATGGGGGATTACACTATCTTTAGGGCAGATCGCACTCGTACCAGAGGAGGGGGCGTTTGTATTTTTATTGCGAATCACCTTTTATCTGAATTACATGTAGCACAACTCAGTTTTGACACTGGCAACATAGACAGTCTTGTTCTTCGGATTTCCTGCAAGAACTTCTCTTTTGTACTATCATGTGTTTACCGACCACCTGGTACTGATTTAACATCAGACCACAATTTATTCTTAAAATTATCAGATCTAGTTGAGGCTTATGAAAATGTATTCGTGTTCGGTGACTTTAATATGCCCGATCTAAAGTGGCCATTAAACCCTAAGTTAAAATGGAGTCAGTCTAACCAACTATTGGTTGACTTTTTGATGAGCACTAGAATGCTGCAGCTGGTAGATCAGCCAACGAGAATTCGGCGAAACCAACAACCATCAACGCTAGATTTAGTGATGATATCGGATGCAAATTTATTGGCGAACTTGGAGTATCTAGACCCGATAGGTAAGTCGGATCATGTTCTAATTAAGGCTGACATGCAGATGTGTTTTACTCCCCGCAAACGAACAATCACGTTCAGCAGATTAGTCACTAATTATGAAGATATCAACACTAGATTATCTAATATTGACTGGTCTTTCATTTCTACACACACTGACGTATCTTCCAGCTGGGATGCCTTTAAATTACGTCTCCAGGAGATCATTGACAGTTGTTCATCTCGAGTCACCGTTAAGAAATCTTCTACCAAACCATGGATTGACGGCAAGATACTTAAGCTGATTAATAAAAAACGGTCGTTGTGGCGAGCGTACAAACGTACAAGTAGTAAATTTGATTATGCTACTCATAGAGCTTTTTTCTAATCGCCTTTTCACGATTATTAAGACAGCTAAGGAAAACTACGAGAAACAATTGGTTGCCGATGCAAATCCCAAGCGGTTCTACAAATATGTCCGCTCAGCCATAAAAGGGTCCTTCGTTCAAATGCCTTTGATTAAAGATGGAAATGGCCAAATTGCTAGTAGTCAGCGTGCTGCTGCTGACATTTTCGCTTCAAGTTTTTCGAAGATATTTGTCAAGGAACCTCACATAACAATGCCCGTCATAAATGGTCCAGCAAAATCAGAAAGTCTTGATTTTGTCCACTTCACTAAAGACTCGGTACTTAACAAACTGCGATCGCTTAAGGAGGGGAAATCTCCGGGCCCCGACGGTCTTTCTGTCAGTGTTCTAAAGAAGTGTGCGAATTCGTTAGCAGGCCCACTTTCCGTACTTTTTAACCAGTCCATCGATACGGGTATTCTACCATTAGACTGGAAAACTGCTCTGCCCAGGCAACATGATGTCGTCTTTTTCACGTGAATAAATGGTCATCAATTACGTCATAGTGACCAAAGATTTCACGTGATATTGACGTACCAATGACGGTCAAATGTCTCGTCCAGATGACGTTATTTTCTGACGAACTATTGACGTGATGTACTGACGTCTTAGAGTCGTCATTTTGTAACGAACTATTGACGTGATGTACTGACGTCTTATAGACGGCATTTATTGTCCATTTTAAGACGTTTTTTATATTTTGATTTTTAGAAAAAAATATGCAATAAATAAAACGCTGAAATACTTTTATATTTTTATGTTATGTACTTTAAATAAAATATTATAATTCGTTATAATCACCAGGCAAACCCCAAAACAAAATATGTATTAATTAAAGTTAAAACAAATTAGTGTAAAAAGATTAAATTTACTACAATTCTGTACAACCAACAATGAACTTCAATAAACAAATAAAAAAATATATGTCAATTAAACAAATTAATGATAAACTACTTTTAAGAACACAAACAAATCTACATACAGGTAATTATGAGTCAAATTACTATAAACAAAAAAAAGGATAATATACAATATACAATCAAAAATAAACGTTGCAATAAAATATGCTATTTAAAGAAAAATCAGTTTTAAAAACACAAAGAAATCTATTTAGTTACAAAGAATATTAAAAGAAAACTATAATAAACTATAAATCAGTCTTAAAAATACAAACAAATCTATTTACAAAAAATATAGAAAAAAACTAGAATAAAGGGAAAAGACAGTTGAATCGCATTGTTGAAGTTACTTGCTTTGAAAATACACTGTAAAACTTTCTAATTCACGACGACTTGTCTGTCCCCAACACGCAAAAAAGTACCGTAAGAATTAATTCTGTTTTAACAATCATATTAATAACCTAACTTTTTTAAGTTTGCCTTAATTTATTGCAATGCAATCATTTTTTCGTCTATGGGCAATAATAGCCAAATTATTAAATTTAAGGGATTACAGCTTAAAGCAGAAGACAAATTCTGCATTTTAAAAATGCTAAATTTACTTGAATCTAACGGATAATCGTAAAATAGTTGCATTGACAAAAACGTATAGCCTATCAGGAAAATCTCGTTGTCAATACTTTTTACAATGAAGCGAAATGTGCCATGTATAGTAAGTTATCAAAAATATCGTAGTATTACAGGCATCTACCTGTATATAATATCCAATATTATGTGTTGCATTTCCGGAAGCGGCCACTGACCCTTTTGGGTATCTTTACCTGATTTTGTAAAGAGCACTGTAATTTTAGTACCTACTTCTGTAACCGTCCTATATTAAACATCAAAACCGAACGCTGTCCATTATTTCAATTATAACAAACAAAGGTCCTTCGAGCAATATCAAGGTACAATTCGGAAGACCATACATGGTCGTATCAACCGGATTAGAAAAAACGTTGGTACTACGATTCGGATTGTACGAAACATTGGCACTTCAAGCCGGAACATTGGTACCTCGAGCCGGAACAATTATGTTATATGTATATATGAATTCATTGTATTTTTTTAAGTTACAAAGAAATCTGCTTATTCTAATAGGCAAAGATAATCTTGTAATTCGTCAAAATTTGTTTAGGTGTGGTCTTGGCGGCATAACTTCTATTTTTGTTTTCTTTTTCAGTTGTCAGATTTGATGACGTTTCCATGTTGGAGATTTTTTCACTCGTTTCCTTTAGCATTTCTTTCGTTTCGCACATGTGTTTTGTATTTGTTTCAAATCTAGAATAAAACTATGTTCATTAGCATTAGTACATAAATAATTGCAGTAATATACCTTTTTTTTTATGGCGCCTCATTTTCAAAAACAATCACCGTAAGTTCTTCATAATCAGTGGGAGTATCTTCAGTGATTAATGGTGGTCTCTCTTAAAAAAACTGCTTTTGTTATCTACGTACTGTTATCAAAAATAACAGAAACATGTAAAAATTAAAATGATTACTTTATTAGATATTAACTTACCTAGTGTAAATAAGTATAACCCACACTGTACAGAAATTTTCACAAAACTGCGTTAAAAATGAAGTGAGTAACGGATACACGAGAAAGTTTCGGCAGTTGAGAACCAACTGGAAATATTGGGATTGGGATGCTTCACTGTGAAGTGCAATAAACATAAATACCGAAAAAAGGGAAAGTCCGAATGCACGCCTCAAACATCTGATGTATTGTATGGTAAATACGGAAGTTGAGCATTATTTTTTCATTAGATGAAATAAATTTAATAAAACTAAATATTAAATCACTCTCTAATTTTTTTGGTAACCATCATCACTTTATAAACGTCTTTATAAAATCAAAATTCGACGAAGGAATTCTTCAAAACCTTGTCCCGTTTTAGGGACAATGGACAAAGAATTTTTATGACTTTGTTTGTGTCGTGGGGTCTTTTCACTATTATACGCTCAACCCCGGATGTTCTATTTATAATTTGCCAAGCAGGTACTTACAAAATAACACTTCCAGAGTATAAACAAGTTTTCAGAAATAATTATTTGATTAGAAATTATTAGATGAAAAAACTTGTCTTTGGTGTATTTCTAATAAAGCCGTTGTTTTTTTTTTTTTGCTCTAAAGATAATTAAGCATTATGAAGGCCACTTTTTAAAGAATACGACGATCCACATCTAATTGATCATATAATCTATAAAAAAATGACCAAGAAAGGACGGCCTTTTGACGTCATTAATTGACGTCAGAAGTAAGTCATAAAAATCTCGTCATTATCACGTGATTTTTTGGGCGAATGACGTCGCCGACGAGTTATGACCAAAAATTGACGTGAATTAGACGACAGTCTGCTGCTTGGGTGATCACTCCAGTTTACAAAAAAGGGGACAAACTCGATGCAGATAATTACCGCCCCATTAGTCTAACGTCTCTTGTCGTGAAGGTCATGGAGTCCATTATTTACGATAATATGATTGCGTTCCTTATGAAACATAATGTGATTCCACCAGCACAGCATGGTTTTCTGCCGGGAAAGTCTATAAACACCAACCTTCTGACTTCTCTCGCTGACTGGACTCGAGCGCTGGATACGGGTGACACAGTGGACGTTGTATATTTCGATTTTTCCAAGGCTTTTGACCGTGTGCCTAAGCGTCGTCTTCTGTTCAAACTAGATCACTATGGAATAAGGGGCGACCTTCTTCGTTGGATAGACTCCTTTCTCACTGATCGTTCATTTAGGGTCAGAATTGGTAATTCTGTTAGTGTCCCGGTTAAGGTACTGAGCGGAGTCCCTCAAGGCTCCGTGCTTGGGCCCTTGTTGTTTATAGTTTATTCGTCAGATATCACCAACGGTTTGAGGTCTAAATGTGCTATGTACGCCGACGATGTAAAACTTTACAACTCTAGCTCGAACTGTATGATTTTAAGCAATGATATCACCTCAATCCACACCTGGTCTCGTGACTGGTTAATTCCATTAAATATGTCTAAGTGTAGAGTACTCCACCTCGGAGGACAAAACCCTCGGAATTGTTACTACCTTAATGGCGTCGAGCTTTCTAAAACGAACACCTGCTCCGATCTAGGTGTTACCATTACATCCGATCTTTCGTGGTCAGAACACGTTGCTTGCATCACCAGAAAGGCTAACAGAACAGTGTATTTAATCACTAAAGCTTTTGGGAAAGCGAACGTTAAGGTTATTGTTGCGTTATATAAAACATATATAAGACCTATCCTAGAGTTCGCGAATAGTGTTTGGAGGCCACACCTAGTACGAGACAACGATTTATTAGAAGCCACAAAACGGCGGGTTACGAGGCTGCCTTTTGGTCAGATACGTCCATCATATCAGGATAGGCTCAAACTGATGTGTCTCCCATTGCTCTCCCGCAGACGCAAGCGTGGGGATGCCATTACCGTATTCCGAGCGCTTACTGATGGTGACTCACCTATTAGATATCTCTTCCCTTTAAATACGGATGGCCGTACTAGAGGTCACGCTTTCAAACTCTTAAAAGAGAAGTTTCGCACAGATGTCAGAAAATACTTCATCACTAACAGAGTGTTCGAATTTTGGAATTCCTTACCCGCTCATGTTGTCAGTTGCAAAAATCTTACCGAGTTCAAAATTAGACTGGATTTACATCAACGAGACTAATGCTAACATAACTGTGTTCTTGCGCGGGCATAACAGGCACTAGCCTCTGCCCGAACGCATTTCTAATAATAATAATAATAATAATAATAATAACTCGAAAATTTTGATAATCGTTTCTGCTAAAATCACATGGGTATGGAATATCTGGAAAAGTTCTCTATTATGGATGGAATCTTTTCTCTGTAGTAGAGTGAAGTAAAACATGGCTAATTCCACTCAATTAAAGAAATGAGTTCTACACATCGACCCTCATAATCCTCAGTTTGACTATGACATGACTTGACTACTGACTTGATTAGGTCTCAACAAGTCACCAGTGTAGTAACTAGAACTAACCAAAAGGTGTATCTTCTAAGACAAACCTTGAGAAAACCTACTAAAGAAACGGTTTTTAGGCACAACTTATGACCCCATTACCGACAGGTATTCATCAAGATTAGTTCTCCCGAATCTGCTTACGTTATGGCAGAGGCAAATAAGAGGAGATGATATTTTAAGGTATGCTGGGTTAGCTCTAAATGTCTCCAACATTAAGAATAGAGTTGTGCTAAAAACTGAAGGGCAAAGCGGCCAATAGTGATCTAGAATTTTGAGAGCTGCAAAAATACACTACACATTACAGACATGAAACGATTACACTAAAAATAATAACAAAAGACAAAATTATAGATGAAATGGTTAGAGAAAAATGGGAAGTGGAACCACCCACAATGAATGGTGAATCGAAACAACAAAAATGGTACAAATATCTAGTGTGTTTGACTGAATACCGAGTCTCGAGAAGTCAGAAAATCATAGCTTAGTGAAGCCAAAATTGTTTTGTGTCTATGTTTTCATCAACAACATAAAAACTATTTTCAAAAAAGCT